TTTTCTTTCGAGTTATTCGTCTACGAAACAATGCATAATTCCTGCTCGTTTGTGACAGTTTAGGCGCCGTGCACAATGACCAGAGCGGACGTTTTCTGAAGGAATCTCTGCATGATGAGTTTTTTAGAGTCGGTGTGGTATGGGAAAAACAACTAGGGTATTTGTTTCAAAATTACTCATCGAAGCTTCAACAGAAGAGAGGGTCCTGCGTGGGACGCGGATTCATTTAGCTCTCTGACTAACTGGGTGTTATTAGGGAGTGATGACCACCCCGTAATTTTAACTGGTAGGTTGTTTAATATAGAACGAAATGAGTGAAGGGAACGATTGGGATGGTCCATGAAATTTAAAACTGTCTTCTCTTTCACTGCTAACAGTTCGAAAACTTTGACAGAAATTCGAATTTACCGAAACTTTACGGACATAGAATGGCGTCAACACCAGGAAATGATTAAATTAGAAAGTAAGGGGTTCACGTTACTAACTAGTTGGTTTGACCTTATAGACCTTAATTTTATACCAAGAAGTCGACAGACTGTCACTCCGTTTTGCGTTTATTTTCTGTCCTCAGCGACTCGCTAGCTTTCTTTTACATGAAGTTACAGTGAGTAAAATCTAGCTCACTAAAGTTAGCTGGTTTAAGATAGAATTAATTTTATAACTCTTGAATCTTTGCTCGTTTCAAATCTGGGAAGCAGTATAATTTTTCACTTGTTTTGACATCTTACAGCATTAACAAACGGTTATTCCATGTCTTTAAATACTGACTATATGAAAGGGAAATCTGGGACCGCGCTGACTAAACATTTTTGGAAACTACTGTTTTGTAGACCTCCGACGCGCGAAGTGAAGTGAGGTAAAAAATTATGAGTCATTGGCAAGTTGAAATGATGTTCATGCTGAAACGAAATTGAAAACCTACGTAGTTTTGGCAAAAAAAAATTCTCGTGCACTTTAGAAATTAGAGCAAAATTTGAAATTGTACCTCTAAGAAGAACAGGAAGTGATGTGTTAGGCAGCACGAAATTCAAGCGTTAGATCTTAACAGCCACTCAAATTATCTGCGTTGTTGACACATAGAAATGGAAATGTCAATCTCTACTCCTCCCGCACATATGAACAACGCTGAGCGCAAAAACGATCGGGATTTGAACAGCAAACGCCAGAAAATCAATTGCTTGGAGAGGGGTCTATATTTTCTCTTTGCCACATCGCAGTGAAATTGTAAATTCACATATTCGCATCTATGTTGCCATTTTATAGCACAGTCTCTCAGGACTTCTGTACCTGTCCAGCCGACAAAGGCGGTTGTCACCTCGACAGCCCTCCTTATTACCAAAGTTTACCAAAGCTTAATGTTAAGAGTGAACGCACGCAAGATAAAGTGCTACAAGAATTCACCAATTATTTCTCTTGGACATGCCACTGTTCAGTAAACAGTGAAAATCAAGGAGAAAAAGAATCATTAATATAACTTAGTCGCGAACTAAACCTCGTCTCTCAAACCTTTCTAGTTCGTGGCTTTTATCTTTCAAAGATTTTGTCACTTTTCAAGGTCACTCGTCTTCATCAGAAGAATTCTAAGTTCCCTGCAATCTGGATTAAACTTTGAACTCCGGGCCGCCCGACTAACATCTTAAGCTTTCACTGTTGTTCTGGCATCCATCACCATCCTTCTAAGTTCTCTAGAACTAGAACAAGCGACCTCCATCCTTCCAACGGATGGCATCGCCTACTTTAAAAATTGTTGTATTAAACGAGTGGATGCTATTGACAGGCAACAACTTTTATTAAAGAGCAAAAAAGTCTACCGAAAGTGAAAAAAATATTTACCAGTAAGCATACCACCAAATGCTTCACACGGCCACTCAATTTAATCAGTATTAAGCAAAAATATTAACAATGATTACGACCAAAAAAGCTCAATGATTCTTAATTACAGAAGTTTTTAAATGTTCGACGCTGGCCTTTCTTTAAAATATTTCTCTAAAGCCGGTAGTTTGTGGATTTCATCAGCAAACTTCTTCACTTCGGGATGTCCATCAAAAAGTGACGAAGCGAAACCGTGAATTACATAGAGATTGTCAGCAATAACGATGTCTGCCCAAGACAGCTCTTTCCCAACCAGATGAAGCCCATCCGACTTTGCCAAATGATTTTTCAAATACCCAAAATACTTATCTCGAGCCGGGAGCATGACATCTTTCAGCAATTTCTCCTGAAAGTTACTGGGATTTTTATGCCTTAAAGTTCTTATGACAGGTTATGGACTCTTGAAATACGCAGGATTAAGCTCATGATCGGGAAGCCAGTAAACAAAGTAAGACTACTAGAACTTCAAAACAAACCGTGCGCTTGAAGAAAGAACATGAAATGCAATATTACACAACATTACAAATTTTTCATTGTCTGGAATTCAATATAAAAAGTAGTGACTTCAGCCGTACTTTATCGCCTTGTGCAAAGCCGGCAGCAACCATAAAGAACGGCTTTATTTCGTTATGAAAGTCTTTATGAGCGTCATAGACAGCGTCCACTAGCGCTTCTCCCACCGGACAACTTGGGACCAGCTCTGCATAAGTGTTTAAAAAAACCAGTGATTCAAATCGACCTCATATAAAAAAATGAGAACATACTGAACTGGCGCCCTAGGTATCTGTAAATTGCAGCACTCTGCGCTATTTCATGCCCATCCACATTTAGAATTGGAAGCTGTCCAAATGGTGCTGCTAAAAAAATCAGATTTCCAATCAATATTATTTTAGTACATCGCTATAAAAACCATACCTGGCGTAAACTATATGACCTTGAAGTTTTACGTGAAATGTGTGACGAATACTAATGCTTTAATATAGACTCAAAATACCCAACTCTAGAAGCAAATAAAAAAAGATAACTGAAAAAAAAAAAAAAAACAACATGGTTTCAATTCAGCCCATTGTTGTGGGTTTACTCTGACATCTTCAAACGGGACTCCAGCATAATGGAACAGAACTCGAGCTCCTTCGCCTAACCAGCGGATATTGAAATATGTAAGCTTGTACTGCGGCATCCTCCTCTTCCTCACTGCAACACTGCCTTCTATAACAGATATATTAAACTAATTTTCTAGTCTCTACTGGTTAATTTCAGAAAGTTATTTTGCGACGTATAACTGAAAAGCCAATAAAGCGTAGAGCTGTAGGAAAGTATTTTTTCATCCTACAAAGTTTTTAGCACAGTTGAGGCAATGAATTCGGTATTTTTATAACCTCCTAAAATACATTACACGACCTGATTCTCTTAAAAAAACAGCCTAGTATCGAAATTCAAGCTAATTCATTAAATCAATGAATAAAAGTACGTAAAAATCCGCACTGCTTCCCGCTTTTTAAAGCTTAAAAATTACTGCAGCGGAATTCCGTCAAATCTGTAAACTGGTGAAATTGTAATTAAGCGTCCTTGCAAACACAATTTTCTTTTCTTTCAAGGTATTTTCAATTTTCTTTAAGATTCTCAGCACCCCTTGATCCACCTGTAATGATTCCTGAGCTGTCTAGACACTGCTCTCTAAACTTATCTAATGCTGAAGTTCCTTTTCAGGCTTCGAGACGTCCCACAACGCTTCTTTTGGCAGACAACGATTACTTCTGTAACTGAACTATTCTAAATTTAATGCTTCTTGAAAGTTATCCCTGCTGTCCCTTAAAAGTTTCTGCAACGGGAGCGTAGAAAGGGGTAAAACTTGATGCATTACAAAATTATAAAACCGAACCACTACTCACTACACCAAATATCGCGGAGGCGTTAGTGGTGCAAAACTAAGTAAAAATCGATACTTCAATACTAGATCATTACAAAGTTAGAAAATGGTACACAGATGAATCTGGATCTGCTCGAGATGTGTAGAACGGGACTGAAAATCTTATATACAAAAAATGGAAAATCTTATATACAAAAAGTGATAGGGGGTTACCAATAAAAAATGAAGGACTTTCCAGATGGAAGCGCCTAACTGAAATAATAGGATTTCGAAAGTCTCTGCTCCTAAACCCTTACTTCTGGATTTCATGGTGGAGTTTCTTTATTCAAAATCACAAATATATGCCGAGTCTTGTACACATCTTCACAGCTACATTTCAAATTTAAGCAAAAAATATACCATAAGTGCGCATTATAACATCACTGGCAAGTCGCAATCCCTATAATTAGTGAAAGCCAGCGCTAATAACTGTTCTGGAAATAATACCTTACTCATCAACGTAAATATAATTACAAGCATCTGATTCTAAGAAAGTGTGCCAATCTGAACCTTAAGAAAACCATGATACATATATGTCAGCGAAAACCGAAGTATGGACCTCAGGAGAAAAAAAGGTAAAAGGCCAAAGCTGCCCAACCGCTGTCAGTATTGCCTCACCAAGGGAAACTGTGAAGACTACTGTGGAAGCCGCATAACGGCAGTGTCGCTAATTGACTTGGCTGCAAAATCTCACGTAGACCGAGGGTATAAAAAGAGGCATGATTCACTTACAGCGCGCTGGTCTTTTTGGCTCTTAAAGGCCGCTGCAGGCGATAAGTAGTTGCAACAATCGCTCGATTTGTATCGTTCTTCGCCTACGTAGTCTTTGATTCCACTTTCGTTTCGGAACTGCACGATGTTCTTTGGAATTCTGGATTTTTATGCGTGCTTTATGACCGCAAGTTGTTATAAGCAAGGTAGCGGTGGCGTATGGATGCTTTTCAATAGAACTTTTCTCCTGTACTCTTCATGCCCACGCTTTCACATGTTTTAATTCTTTTTTCTAATGGGCAGCAAACAAACCAGTTTCTGCGGCGTCAAGTTGCACGTAATTCGGATTGTTTTCGAGTCTTTTTTTGAAAAGCTGTTATTCGTTGAGTAGCTGAGAGACAAACCACAACTGGAAATGATTTTCAGTACTGTTAAGCGGATACCAAATCTAAAGTGGCTTAGTGTGGTTTTATATTACTGGGTTTCACTGAAAAAGCACTCTGGTTTTTTTGAATTACCGGAACTTCTGCAAAATGATTTTATCGCCGTCGGTGGACTACTTTTCTTATCCTCATAATTGTGCAACGGTTTTTCTTTAATAAATATGTTAGCTTTTTAGCAGACCAGATTGAAACGAATCTTTGTGTTTTCTAGGAAACAAGGAAAGAACAAATCTTATCGGATATGCGTTGGGTTCAAAAACAGAGTCGTTTTGGTATTGCAGGGCAAGTTTGTAAACACATGGTCCTTCCCAAAGCAAGTCGGGTTCAAACTTTTTTCACAACCTGAAGCGAGATTTCACCAGTAAACTGATATGAAAGTCAATGATCAGAACACTAAATGAGGATATTTTAAAAGCTTTAGATTTGCATAGCACTTTACTGGAAATTCAGGTGCAGTTTGAATACTCATTGTCTTTTTGTATAGTCGCTGAGTGATTTGTTACCTGCAATAAATTTGAACGAGTTTGTGTGTAGCCTATGAGGGTAATTTCAGCGGTATTCTGATGAGTAAAACGGAACTGGTTTAAATTTTTCAAGGTTGGTTGTCAATTAAAATCAAAGTTCTTTACACATCAAGAAGTCTGGGTATTCTAGTCCAATTTTCTTTTATAGACAAGCCGATGAGTTGCTCTACGAGCAACGGATTTGTTTTTCAGCAAATAAAAGTGGGCTACTAATCACCGCGGTAGGAAAACGGTTTTACGTTTTTGTATCGCAACCTATGGCAATCAGATACACACTGTTTTTTGTGGTGCATTTTAAAAACTTCTCTTTTACTTATTTGCAATCTATGAAAAAACAAAAGAGCCTATCAAACGAGTGGAAATACAAAAAAAGCTCGTCGTTTAAAATAGTTCTTATGCTGTGTGCTTGTCAACTAATTAAAGAACTGTTTTGTAGAAAAGTTTTTGAAATTTTCTCCGGCTTGTCGCTTCACATTTGGCGAATGCTTTAACTCTTTCAAGAACTGCAGATATGTGACTGAAAGACTGTTATAACAGAAAGTTTGATGAGTGCAATCAACCAACATGACGTCAATTGCTTCTGGAAGAAAAGAAGGCATTAGCAGTCAAGAACTGACTAATATAAATTGGCAGTCAGGTCTGAAATGGTGATGGTGAGGGTTTATGTGCGGTCATTCATCAATGAAAGCAAAATTCTAAATAAAAAAATTGTCTTGTTCCAAAGAATATTAGTATGTAAGAATAAATGACAACTTAAAGTTAGGTTTGCCAGAATGTAACAATTACTTTTGAAGAAACTGCTAAGCTAAGGTGTATTTGAAAGTAATTAAACTAATGTTGCTAAGAGAAAATTGCTGTCCAGTTCCTATGTTGCTAGACAATATTTTATGGGGTAACAGAATTCAAATAAAATTTCTGATGTTTGTCATTTGACCAAATATATAGTACAAAGAAGTGATCTATGCTGATAACGAGGGAGAGTGCTTAAACTGTGCTTTCGTTCTTTGTTTCCGTGAGCATAAAAGTTAATACTTTTGAGGGCTTGTAGTACGATGAGATGTCATTTTAAATGGTCAGCCTGTTATGAGTAAAGAATTTGCGATATGTGGATATTGTTAACTGGAATGTTTACTGAAATGGTATTTTTTGTGAAATATGGGGAAAGTTAGGCAATTGTGGCGAACTGTTGCTGCTGAATCGGAATCGAAAGGACGACGTTTTTGTTGGAAGTGCTGGAAAAAAGTCATTGAATAATTAAGCAAGTTTTTTTATCGGATATTTTCGTATTATTGTGTGAAAGCTATTCTAGGTAGTCTCACTGGTTATTAGTCGGCTTTCAGACGATATTATCAGTTGTTTATATTTAAGTACTTATGCAAATTACTGGTTTCAGATTGCATACTTAAAGAATTGGTAAGCCCGGAACCACACATTTGTTGCAAGTGTACGCTGGCAGGAATTCACTTCTGAAGAAAATCTTTTTGAAAAGCTTCTTTTGATGGTAGTTTATCATCTAGCAATAATTTCCATAGGTGTCCTAAATTACTGTTAAAATATAATGGCAGATTCTGTAAATTCATTTCACTCTCTTTTGTACTTTCATTTAAGCATTATTTGCTCTTGTTTACTGCGCTGGCAGTCTTTAATTCGTACTAGTTTAACCATTGCTTACAAAGCCTACTAATTTTGGGGAACTTTTGAGTTATTTTAGTGTAATAGAAGAAGGTGAGTAAGGAGGCCATTTTCAGAATGTGCATTACCCTTACTGCTGCGGCCATATTCATTTCACTAATTACTCGACAACCCGTTGAGGCACAAATCGCGAGGATTTGTATGGGTAATGGTCAGAAAGCAAACATTTATGGGCCCTCAATTGGACGTCAGTTTTTTTGGTTGTCAATTTTGCAGATTTACTGGATAACTTTAATGTTTTTTGCAATTATATTTATTTAAAACTTGCCCATTGCTGCTTCTGAAAGTAGAAGTTTAAAGTTTAAAACATTTTATTTTTTCAGCTTGCATTGATAATCAGTGCCCTGCTGGTTACATGTGCATCAACGACAGTTGTGGTAAAAATTAGTTTTGTTTTTAAAAGAATGAAATATTTGTTTTCATCTGAAAATTGTATAATCAGTTTTGAGATTTAATTGCAGTAGGTTAAGATTTTTCGTAAAAATTTTGTGCTTCTTCGTTGTTTTCGGCTTTTTTGGAAAGCTGGCGGAGAAACCTAGAGGTTTTCTGGTATAAAAACGGTAAAATTGCAGTGCTAGGATGTTATGATACTTGTACGGACTGCAAGTGTTATACGGGTTATTGCCACAATCCAATGTACAAGCGCTGTATGCAGTGCTGTCACAGAACTTGCGGAACCTGCGAACCATAGCTGATGTAAATCACGAAAGTTTTCTAATCTTTAATGCTCAGATTTGTTTTCTGACTCACACTGTTCAAAAAATAATTTTGTGGGCGCTTTAGCTAACGAAACAGTCTTAAAAGATATGAAATTATTACTATAAATTTATTTGTAAATATGGATGTAAAATTTGAAGAAAATAAATTTATTATTAATATGGTATTTTTATTGTTCTGCCCATTCTCGAGCTTTACATATTAGCAGTCTAATAAGAAAAGACAAAGACAATCGGTATTAACAACATGGCAGAAAGTCTTTTTCTACTCAGACTGCAAAAAATTTTTGCTTCGCATAATGACTTGTGTAATCTACACTTAAAAGCCATAGTTTATGAAATATTTTAACAACCGTTTAAGTGTAATATCCCTCGTTCAGTTATTATTAATATTGTTGCATACGGCGAATTAAAATTACAAAAGTGAGAAAAAAAAAGTAAACATTGCGGTGTTTTGTTATTTACTTTTCGCGCTTTACCTGCTACAGATGAAATTTATCGCGAAACCTCTGAAAATTATTTTTTCCATGCTTGTTAGAAACTGTTAAAGGCTTATGTGACTTACTTGAAAGCCGGTTTTATTTGATTTTTAAAAGGAAGTACAATAAGCACGAGGTATTATGACTAAAGACAATGTAGCTCTGGTTCAAGACCTCTAAATAACAATTAAAGCAGATGACTGCTATAACGAAACTGAAGCGGAACTTTGGCAGTAAAATCTATAGTAGCAGAAAACCTCATGTTCTACAGCAGTAATATCGCCCGTCTGCGGCTTTTTGACAAGCGCCTTCGCTACAACCGTTGTCATCCCAGCCTTCACACCTTAACACCTGCCCATTTTGTAAAACAGCTTCATTACACAATTGCCGCCGCGATTCTGGCCCTGGACAACACGAATAAGTACCATCAGCAAGTTTTTCACAGACTTTATCCCTTCTTGCACAAGAGTTTGGATCTGAAGGATTACACCTGCAAAGTAGGCTTTAAATTAGCCTCCTAAGTGGGAGATAATGGCCGTTTAAATCTTTTTAAAACCAGTATCGTTACTGAATTGGGCGGTTAGATACGATATCCAAGACGGGCATTTCACCATTTGAGCAAGTGAATATCTCAACGCGGTGGCAACAGTAAAAATAAATATCTCTCAAAGAGGTTATATTTTCAACGTTGTCAATTGCAGCGAGACAATCTGATGATTCCGGGCACAGAGTTTCGCCTAAAAATTTCTGTCAGTGTTTCCGACTGATCAGAAAAAGATGAATAACTCTTTAAAATTCAAAAAAAAAAAAAAAAAATAAAAAACCTCTTTAGAAGCCACAGACTGTAACAAGTACCCGGAAAGCATCGTTTCGGTCTTTGAGTATTTGTATTTACATAAGGTAACAGGCATTTCCGTTCGGGTTTACAACACAAATGTCGCCTAGCTCCTGTACTTGCAAGAACACAGAAATGATCTTCCGGACATCCACCTGGGACACCTGGCGAACATATGTGTGGGCGTCCGTACTGCTCTCTTAAAGCTTTTAGCCCAAAAGGACAGTCGAGTGGTTGGGTACAACAGATATATTCCTAAAAAGCAAAAAATTTAGTTTTTTTGTTCTCATAAAAAAATTCAACTTTGTTGAAGCTAAATAGATGTCGTCTTTTCGACCAATGAAATGTTATACAAAAAAACTTCTATTGAATGTAGAAAAAAGACGCTTAGTTGATTTACCAAATTAGTGGCTTGCTGACAAACATAACCGCTTGAACAAGTGTCGGGTATATCATAGGTACACCGCCTCGGTCCAGAACCGTCTAAATTCATCTCCGTGATACTTTCTGCAGCTGTGCACACAGCTTGAGTTTTACAACAAATTGATGCAAATTCGGTGCTCAAAATGAATTAAGTTAAGTAACGGCGGCTTGATAAGTTGACAGATATATAAAAAAAACTTGGCTTTTTAATACACATGACAAAATTTCATAATATCTAGCAGTCCTATTGCCCTTCTTTTTCATTTTCCTAAACAGTAAGACTACCTTTTTAAACATTCATGTCCAACAGGACAACTGTGACTTTCTTTTGGGTTACAAAGCTGAGGAAGCGTTGTTATAGCATTCAAGTATGGCTGGAGATTTCCCGGGCAACTGCCTTTAAAACAGTGTTAAACTGTAAGTCACTTTCAGTTTTCATAATTACAGGCATTTATAGAAATGCACAAAAAATGAACAAAATTAAGATATATCTATAAAAAAGTCTGAAATAAGAGTTTGTAATCTTAAACATCTACAAACCGATGCAGTACTCAGCACACTGATCCTGACTGGCAAATGTGTTCATTTGGTTCGCACAAGCAGGATCTAGCAAAAGTTCACATTTCCCTTCTTTTGCATTAAAAGTCCACAAATTGTCTTGCAGAGGATCTCTACATGGTAAAGTTTCGTCATACGCCGTCCCACAGACAAGTTCTGGAATTTTAAACAGAAATCTTTTTGAGGTTTGAAAAAATAGTTCCTAGGCTACAATGGATTAAACTGTTGGTCTGTTGTCTTTATAGGTACATGTTTACAGAAGTCACTATAAGACCTTTGCTGGGGCAACAAGCTTTGTTGGGTATTTTACCAGTGCACGTATAGTTTGCTGGGCACTGGGAATTCCTGCTGCACGACATCAGACGAGTAGAAGTATAGCGGTCAGGTAGGGGATCACCTCTTAGACAGGTTACTGAAAACGCATACATATTTCCCTGAACAAAGCATCTGGGAGAAGAATGAGTAGAAGTAAAAAAGACTATAATTTATTTGAAGAAGAAAATTTAGCAAATAATTTACACAAAAAATGGGCTTTTTTCGTCATTTAACTTTTGGTAATGCAGATTTTTAATCTAAAAAAAAAAAAAATAATGAAGATAATTTTGAATATTTTTCCATAATTCTCAATAGGTTTTTTTTAGCAGTTTTTAGGTACTAATTAAATGATCAGTGAATAACTATTATTTACATGTTTGAGCTGCATATATTAAATGCCGGTAAATAAAGTGACGGAAAATTTTTCTTCTTTTTCGGCATGGCATTAACAGAAAAAAGAACTACGAGGAAGTGAAATTCTTTGTTGTGAGAAGCAAGTAAGTCTAGATAGTTGTAAAAAACTGTGAAGGAGCAGAAAAATTCAAGAAGAAGAAAAATAATACAGTATAATTAGGAGCTTACAGCACTTTTATTGGTAAATAAAAATTAATGTTCTACTCTGTTGTACCACTTCGTTGATGGCAAGCACCTGATATTTTAAAGACGATGGAAGCAAAAAATTTTCAAAAATCTTTAAGCTAAATTATCGTTCAAAAGTATCCATTATCCAACTGCTAGATTAAGTCTAGTAGTAGATGACAAAATTGAATCATAATTTAGAAAAATCAAAATGAAACAGATATTTTTTTCACAATTCTTTAAACGAAATTATCCACTGTTTCAATATAAAGTCATAAAACAGAAGTGAAGTTAGTTTATTTAGAATTAAAAAAAAAACAACAATTGAACACTACACACCCGCTTTTGCACAACTTTTCAAACATTGTCCTTTAGACTTAAAATTGTTCTCGTTGCCTCCACAACCGGTATACGAAAATGGTCGGCACATATTTGAGCTTCCATCAAAATAGTACCGCATAATTAGCGGTGCTCCACAAGGATTGCCGCTGTTAACAGCCAGATCGCAGATCCGTTCTAAAATTAAACTTTTAAAACAGTAGGCAAAAATTACTCTATATAAAAATAAAACGTTCCGAAAGACAACGAAAAGTTAATTGGTGAACAATTTGTTATAAGAAAACCTAATAAGTGGCAAAAAAAAATTTCGCGAAAACACTGCAGGTTTGTTAACTAACCAATTTTTTTGCAGCAAACCGACTCCAATCCTTTACCATTGCATTCATAATCTACGGGACATGGCATTTTGAAAGCGTCACATCGCTTTATATTACCAGCAAAATCCATAAGCGGAAGTCCCTTCCCACATTTTGCTAAAACAGTAGTAGTCAACTGTCTTGGCAAGGTACTTGGTCCAAATAGAATTAGGAAGATAAAATCAGCACATAAATTGTCGCATAAGGGCAATATGCCACATTTTTTATTTTTTAAGCTAATCTTCCTAAAGCTATCCGTATGATTTCACAATGGTCCTCACAGAGCATCTCCGCGGAAAAAAACATTTAAACGATGCTGAAAATAACCTTATTCTACTTTATCGACAGATTCACTTGTAACAGTTTCCCAAAACTGATCGGAAAAAGAGATTAAAATTAAATGGTAAAAAGATTCATTTCTAGTGCCACGACAATACAATATATGTACAAATTTAAAAGGCCGAAACTGTTTTCTACAAAGATTAAGCATTTTTAGGCGAAAGGCACTGACACAATAGTCCGCAACCAGACTGACAGTCATCTTTGGTAGCAAAACGGTTCTGATTACCGCCACAACCGAGAAACCGGAACTGGATGCATTCACCAATATCTGGATCGTAAAAATAAGCCTCTGATGCTCCGGTAATTCCACACTCATATCCCTCACTCTTTGGAAGGCGACACAAAACTCCTTAAGCAAATATCTGAGTGGGGAAGAAACATGTCATTTGATTCTAAACACTTTAAATGTAAATAATTCTGGAAATTGTGTTATCTCAACAATGATAAATAGAATTAGGGTCAGGACTTTCTTTGATTATGGGCTGTTCTGTAAATAGAATTATCAGTTGTTTATAGTATAAACCAGAGGGCTGGAAAGCCTTTAAGTTCAAATTTTTATAAAAGCATTACTTTAAAAAGTACAGCTTACCTCCAAGATCAAGGGAACTTGTTAGATCGAACGTGGTAAAAAAGTATATTAAAAAATATGTGAAGGAGCAAAGCTTCATTTCAGCAATGAATTTGAAAATTTACGAGCCGATAAACCGAAGAGAATTTGGTGATTTAAATGGCCGAAAACTACCTTAAGAAGATTTAGCGATAAAGTGTTGTTAAATAAAAAGAGTAGCTATTATAAGAGCGCCGTATTTTCGCAGCTATTATAAGGTTATGCCTTACTTCTGAAGATCACAATGCACTTTCGGCGACGCAAGCGGAGTGGCAGCCAAAATCTCTAAAACCAAGATTCTCCCTTAGTTAAACGTAAATTACATTTCGCAGCAACACCTGAAACCTTTGACAGTCTTCCCTCTCTTTTCAGAACTGTTAAAAATTGCTACCGGTGTATTTTCTGCTGTGTTTAAAAATTTTGAATTTCATAATTAGAATAATAAAATTCAACTAAACAATCTTTACTCGTTCGTTAAAGTGGGCAGAAATATTCCAAAAACAAAGCTTTTCAGGCTTTTCGCTGTTGTGTTACCGTTCTGCTCTCCTGTCAAGAGGTTCTTTCTATAATTATTTCGGCTCTATGGTCTTTTCTGTTGTGTTATTTCCGATACTTTCCGTACTAGACAGGTATTTTTGTCTTATTTATTGTGAACCGCATATATTAAAACAGATACATATCAAAAAAGGCATGAAAAATGAATAGACTGTTTAACAACAGTTTGAAATTTTTTAATAAATTACACTATAGTCAAAACACTACAGTTTTTTCTTTGGCTTTTTACTGTCGCACGACCCATTCACAGCGACAAACTTTTCTGAACACAACAGAAAATTTGTAAAAACTATGCTGCAATGATGTTTCCATCTAATTCCAACAATCCTCGCGTTGTTTATTTCCGAGTACCGTCATAAACCTTCAGAGACGATCAGTAAGATATGCGACGAAATTTCGTGATCAGTTTTCATCTAACCAAAACGAAAATGAAAAAAACAGCCATAGCGAGGACAAAAAATATAACACCTAAAGTATGAATCTGCTGTAGTAGAATTTTGCCATAATTTAAGAAACGATATTTAATTAACATTCACAGGAAAAGCAAACACTAAAACTCATTTTAATACAAAAAATAACAAGAACTTAAAAGCTGTTACATCCAGTCCCTCCAAGTAACAACTGCTTGAACCTGGAGTACCATTTTTCAGACATTCTAGCTCGCAGCTTATTGCAGACCTTGTTCCATAAAGATTTGATCTTTCCTTCACTGTTAGGACGAGTTTCTTCACTATTACCTAATAATTTCATTACTTCAGTTTCACTATTTTCAATAAGAAAAAAAACAGTAAGCAACATCAGAGGTTTGTTTAAAGAGTACCAAATGTTTACTCCAGAATCCCACTGTGTATATAAAAAAGTGATTGAATAATTGAATAAATTTGTAGAATTTTGTTATTTTTTGCAAAAATTTTTCCAAATAAGAAGAAAAATTTCATTTAATAAAAGGTTCCAGAAACACATTAAAACTGCTCGCATTCTTTCGTCCACAGTTTATCGTAATATTATAGTTGAAAATACTTTTTGAAGAAATTAACTTAGAAAAGTTAGTGTTGAGACAGAAACGATTTTAAAGCACACAGATATAATTTAAAGAAACAAAAGTCAAAAACAATAAATAAGGAGATAATTAAGTAGAAAGTCTAACTAGATACATCTGGAGTAGAAGTCACTTCTATTCTGCTGTGCTGCAGATTTTCAGCTGACAGAGTACACTCAGCTGAAAAAAAAAAAAAAAAAGAACAGTTCAATAAGTGAATATGCATGTCTATTTTTTGTTTAAAGAAATCATATCTGTGACCTGTTCCTAGCGAACTTTCAATTTGGATGTTGCAGTTGTTTTCGTCTACCGGGTGGAAACAGTCAGATCCACTTCCACATTCACCTAAAAAATTGCGGCTTAAAAACTTCTTTAAGCGGTCTTCTTTAAAATGTCACTGATTTTTCACTCTCTTATTATTGCCTCTTAATTACCTGTCAACTGAGCGTAAAATTGATAGTTATAAAAAACTGTTTACATTTTTTCTTGAGCAACACCGAATCAACAATTGAAATTTCAAAACATAACACCTATCAGCAACGATTTTCTTCACTACCACTACATCGTAAATTTTGATTGTTTTAAATATAGCCTATCAATTAAGACACATCTTGTTGCTTTACTCCACTTGCTAGATTTCCGAATTTGTCAAAACACATTTACAGTCCCAGATTTCTCAGACTACAATGAATTTTTTGAGAATAAACTTCAGACTCTTGTTGAGTAAAAAATTTTCAAAATTTTAAAGTTTTTAACCACACTGTTACTGCTTGTACTTTTTTCGTTTTTTATATGAAATTACTTGTCACTTTTTGAATAACCAAAAAAAACAATTTTTATCAAGTGTTATCACGTTTTTCGTTAACTGTTTACTAAGAAATAATGTCAGCAAATTGTGTACAGAAACGATTATTTTTTAGAATTTTTAAATGCACTACTCACTTGCAGAATCAATAAACGGCAAGTTTGCATATCTGTTCTGCTGAGATTCCTCTTCGAGCTCTTTCATTCTTCCTCCATTAGTACAGTCTTCGCTTGAACAAGCCATCTGTACAATACGTTTTGTTCCTGAAAAAAACATCTGTGTTATAAAGTTGAGGCAGTCGACAAGACCTTCATATAGCTTTTTTACTTTTAAAAATATGTATAACCTCTTAACTAAAAACTATCATAAATTTTACATTTGAGCTTTAATATTGTTAGCATCTTATAATACAAAAAAGAAAACCTCACAAGTTTTCAGAAGAGCAGTAATAAATTAATAAGTGTTCCCTTGTACAGTAATTCAATGTTTGGTGACTAATCTAAGGTTATCAAACCTGAAAAATTGTATTTTTTTCCCACTCAATGCAAGAAGAGAGGTGATAAGCTTAGATACTGTCACTCACCTTAACTTATTTTAGCTTTTTAAACATGCGAAGCATGCAGAAAAGAGCAGACTAAACATATGATTGAGCGCTTTAAATCTAGAAAATAACCACCGGTTAGCCATAATTTTCATACCAAAGAGTTTAAAAGCTTAAAAAAGGCGTAACTTTGAAGCTTAAGACAAATAAATATGCAAAAAAGAAATAAATAGCATTAACATTTTGTAAAATTATAAAACATTGGTAATGAAGTAACAATAATTGTGAGAACTGTTATAAAACGTTACAACTCACCGAAATAAAACAATGTTAACTATCGCTTTTTACTGCACAACGAGATGACGGTTGATCAGAGCTGATTTTTGCTAGCCACAAGCTATGACCAACAGTGAAGTTAAGTGCTTTTGAACAAATTTTCACAGATTTTTTGTACTTCTAAAAGCTGTTTTAGTTTATGCTAATATTTATCTGTCATTGTAAATCTTATTTTTTATAAACAGAATTTATTCCAGTAAACAAAAACTTTTTTTTTAACGCTCATCGATACTGGTCTTTAAAACACATAAAATTTGAGCAATAACGGTTTCAGTAGTTAAAGATGACAATCTGAAAACTAAAATTTTTTCAGTATTGCAGTGACAAAATATCTTCAAAATTGTAATTTTTTCAGCTAATACACATCATTCCAATCAAGCACTTTTCTTTTAAAACTTAATAGTACGAGTACTGATGCTGTTCCTGACTGAAAGTGAATAAAGTTACCTTTTCGCGTAAAACGAAAACCAAAGTATTTAAAGAAAAAAAAAATTTGTGTTTTGTAAAACAAATTAGACAAATTAGAAGTTTTAACGAATTTTTAATCTCATTAAAGGTAATATTATTTTTCATTTTGTTGATTGGAGAAAAAAAAATGCATTTTTAGGTTTTGGTAATATATGCTGGCTTAAGTGGAGACAAGATTTAAATACTAAAAATAAAGTGTAGAGACATAGTAACAAGTCGATAAAATGTCTTTAAAAACTTTCGAAATCTTTTATTGTTTACTTAAACAAACACTTATCTAACAAACTGTCAAACTTTTATTGCGGTTATACGTCATTCTCAAAACGAATAAGGCGACTTTAACAAGCAGAGCTTGAATAAAACAAGTATATTAAATTAGAAAAGGTTTTTAACAATACATAACTGCTCTAAGTTGTTTGTATAAATAAAGTCTATCTTTTTAAAAGTATTTTTCTGCTTATAAAGAAATTATCTGCATTGTTTTTGTAACTGATTAACGATACAATTGGAGATAAGCAACTGGACCATTCCCTGTACCATCTTAACTGCCTCCGCCCTTTTAGCAAAACCTCCTAAATAAAAGAGTGTATGTTGTCAAAAACGTATGGCAACATGCTTTAAATAAGAAGTATTTTATCTTCTTATTTGTAAAAGGTTTAATTAAACTAAAAAATACCTCAAAAATTCAACATTTTAAATTTTTGGTCAACAATTAGCTTTTAAGTAAAAAAATAAGACAAAGCTGCTGTTTAATCAGCCAACAAGAGAGATACGTCAATTAGATTTTGAACAAGAATTTTTAGATTGCTAAAGACAACAATCACTACTGTAATTTTATATTAAGGTTTTTTGGTTTTTTTTTTTAGACGTTGAAGATGTGATGCTGAAAAGAAAATAAGAAACAATTTTGTAAAGAGCTGTTTTATTCGCAATTTTTAAAATTGAGAGAGTGACACGAAATTTATTCATTAAATCTCGGTCAGAAGTAACCAAAGTTGACCAACTTACTAATTCACATATTAACTATCAATATTAACAATGCTCGTTTGAAAAGAAGACAATTTTTTTTGCTATACAAACGTTGAATAAATAATGGGAAAAATTAGAAAGAATTGAATATTAGATTATGGAACACACACCCAATAAAAAAAAAGAAGTATTAAATAAATTGAGGCTGAAAATGTTGCGTGCATTTGGACATCTGTTTTAGAAGATCAAATTAAATTAACAGAAGTAAATAGAGGAACGATGACACATTCAGTTCATTTAAGAGCACAAATCGTACAGACAAATTTCATCTGAGTTTCCAAGCCACAAAAAGATTGTGACAAATATTGTTAAGCATTTGTATCGGTGTTAATGTTTGTTATTAAAATACGACATTAAATTTTTTGTTCAAGTTTCTAAATTTTCTTCCCTACCTGACCAGTATTTGTTTTAAAAAATAAAGCCTTTTTGTGATTAAAATTTAATCTTTTTTTTTTTGCTTTTCTACAGAACTCAATTTAAAATAAATCATAAACATAATATTTAAGAAAAAAACGACTAAAGAGAGGTTATTTTCTTGTAGGTGAAATTCTTTTTTGCTCTAACCAAGTCGAAAGTTTTACATTTGAAAACCAGTTGCGAGAAGAAGAGGGAAGAAAATTGGAGTAGCGCTATACAGGATTTTCTGAAAACTGTACATTGTTGGTCTGAATAACGATGTTTTTAGTGTATATCCGCAGAACAGTTCAGAAGTGCAATTGGCGAAGTATAAATGAAGAAAATATTTGTATCTATATAAATTTCGTCTTTTTTCTTTCTTTTTGCAACTGTAATAACTAAGTGGAAGACAGTCATAAAGTTTTGTTATACGTATTTACATATGTATGTACAAAATACTGAACTCTTCAATAATGCACAAAAAACTTCGAAAATCACACGAACAGAAAAAAAAAAGAAGAATCTTGTTTACTAATATCTTCTGTACACAGTAAAAATTTTTTGTTGGTTCAGTAAATTAGAAAGAGGAATACTGCAACAAATTTATAGTTTTAAATATATGTACAACTATTACTTTAAAATTGTTCTTTCTCGGCTTTTTTAATAGCAAATAATAGCAATTAATATTTAAACGACGAAGCAGTTAATAATAAATGTTTTAAAAAATTTGTTTTTATAATCTCTTTATTAATAAAATATTAAAACAATATGTCTTTTTGTTGCGTTAAGAGATTGATAGAATTCATTCAAAATTTCTCAAATACACATAAACTTTGAAAATATGCAAAAAAAAAAAAAAAAAAATTTAGTAGTACGTTGAACAAATACATTATAAATTGTAGCGTTTTCTGCAAATAAACTATAGATTTCTTAAGAAAAACAGTGTTTATTTGAACATAATAAATTACATAGTTAATGCAGTTAACAGTAACATCACTTAAACAACAGGCTAATTAAGGCTAAATCTATTAGCTTGTCTGCATTTGGATACCAGTAATAACCACTTGACAACTAGTAGCACCGTTTAATTGTCATAATGTTGACAAATATTTGGACTGAAAGACTCTCGTTTATGCATATAAAACACAGATTTCTGCTTTCTTGAAGAATCTGTTACAGAAATTTGTGAGTGGATTGTACATGAGCGTAGTAACAGCTACTGCATATCAATCTGAACATTTCAAACTTTTATATGCTGGTTAATAGATTTACAATTTTTCTAGGTAAATTACCTGTTCAATAAAAAGTGGAAAAAAATTTTAAACTTATTTGAAGTATACGCAGAAGTGTACTTTTAACTGGAACAACTTAGATTATAGATCGTCGCAGAATAATTTTGTCTTTTTTCTGTTTACCAAAGTAAATAAGCAGTGTTGTTTCATGAACAACAAAAGTGTACAAAAATAAACGAAAGATGAACCATTAAAGATGTAAATAAATTGTTATTTTTTTGATAGAATAAGTATAAATAAAATTGAAATATTCTAACTGTCCAACAAGATCAACGCTTTAAGAGGCTTTTTCACATCTGTAAACGTCTTGTTTTTAATACATTTGATTAACTGCAGTAACAAAAGCATTATCGTACTTTTCCTGGTGCGAAAATTTTTTCCACAAACAGTTTAAAAGTGAAATTTGTTCTAGACAAGACAGCACTTATTCAGCAATATCTAGTACTTTTAGTCTTTGCAAAATAAAAGATCTGAATAGAAATAAAACTTGAGTAGTTTTAAAAGAAAATTTTGACCAGTAGTTGCTAAGATATTCCATAAAAATAATTTACCGTGTTTCTCGCCAGTTTTCAAAAAACAACAAAGTTGGGTTTTGAAAAAAAATGTGTACGAGAGCGGATCCTACCTCATTTTTTACGCTGTACAATAATAAGGAAGTCTTACAGATTCTTATGACCAATAGTTCACTTAAAAATCAAATTTTTGTTCTTTACGCCACTCTTTTAGCCATACTCCAGTAGCTCAATTCTTTGTTATAAAAAAAGAGGAAAGTTTCAATAAAGAGATGGGTCGGGGCATTAGAAATCTCATTCGAATTGCAACAGTTCTTAAAACACAGTTAGTATGTGAAGACGGCTATGTTGAATTAAATTTTTTAAAGCAGAAACTTTAAGATAGGTAGTTTAACTGGTTTTTAAAAATTTTTGTAACTTTGAGCATCTACCTTCTTCTCTTTACTATCATTCCAAAGACCTTAGAACAGCTTTCTTTTTTCAAATACACGTATAATAACTCACAAAACCGCTGTGTAAAAATGGCAAGAAAAAGAGAAAAAAAGTTGAGTGTAAGTTCGAGTATTACACTAAAATATTTTGTTTTTAACGGCTTTTTTAACGGCAATTTTATGTGAGGTCACAAAAGTTTGCGGTTTTAAAATGCTTCCACCGTTCTTCAAAAAAGTTTCTTTATTTCGCAATAAAATTTAAAATATTTGAAATGATTTTTTGCTTTTTCAGAAAAGAATCCATTACCTTAACAAAAGGTGACCTTTTTATTTACCTTCTTGTTTTAATCGTTACTTTCTTCTACTTTTTCTGCTGATCACTGTGGCAAAATGAGCAAGTTAAAAGGCCGCATAGTTTAACTCAAGCTGGACGAAGAGTTAAGAACTACCAGTCAGAAAGAAAGTCTCTTATTTGAAAAAAAAAAATATAGACCAAGTCTAAACAGAAAAGAAATAAAATGTACCAGAATATACCAAGTTTGTTCAGAATTGACCTTCTTCTCAGCCGAAAATTTCAAAAATTTTAAAAATTTTTATGAGACTGACAACTGCACTGAAAATTCAGCAGGCAAAATTTTTTGACTTAAACTTACTGAATTACTAACATTTGCGTGATTATGACAGTAGTTTTTTTTTTTTTTGTGACATTTGATTAAATAGTACGACTGTTTGCATCACATTAAAATTGTTTAAAACAGAACAAATAAAAACATGTATCTGAGAAGCAAAAGTTTACTGGCTGTAAGGTCTTTATTCATATGAAATTGCTATGAGAAAAGGGTTTATAATTTGGGTTACGACATTAAAGCTGATTCGACTTTTTTGATTATGTTCTGCACAATTGATTTTTCGAGTGAAATACAGTAAAAAAAAGCTTGAAAAAAACCTACAATTTGGACAAGTAAACTTTTTTAGATAGACTTTAGTTGAATAAAATTTTTTAAAAGGTTTTTGCAAAAACCTTTCAAATTGTTGCAACTTTAGCAATATTAGCGTATTAGCATAAAAGTTTAAGAAGTAATCAGTTCTTTGAAAGGTGGAAAATTTTGCGATAAAATTTCAAAAGCGTCTTCAATTCCTGCAGCGATTCTGAATCGCAACTCTTCTTCAGCGGCGATTCGGGCTTCCTTATCCAAATTGCTTTCGGAGAGGAAACTTTTCACAGTTGGTAACACAAACACGTATCGAATAAAGGATCTCTGGTAGGAAAATTTGATCTACAAGAAAGATGAGATTAGTGTAAGAAATAAATCTAGATAGATTTTCAACATTAAATATGGTATTAAAAGTCATTCAAACATACTTTGTCTGCTGTAAATGGCACTTTAATTCCTGATCCACTCAACAGCTTCTCAAGCGTACTTACATAATAATCGAAAACTGATTTTTCCAATTTTCTTCTAACCTCTCCTGTGGTACAAAATAAAAAAGCTGCAGCTAAATCAGCTCCAGTATTTCCTGCAACGGAAAACGACCTGTAAACTGCTAAAGAACTGTCAAAAGGGGATTTTTTTGAACATGTACTGTCATCTGTAAACTGTGAACATAAAAAGCTTTCTACTAGTCTAAGATGCTGTGATCATTTTAATCACTTGTTATATTTAAAAATTATTAATATATTTTTGTAATACTCTCCAAAATGATAGATGAAAAGCTACAACTGCTTTGTTGAAAACATTACAGTAAAAAAATGAGCTTTTGACAGGACTAGCTTTCTCTTAAATAATAAAGAAGAAACCAAGATGAGTTCTTTGCCAGTCTATTAACGCGTAAAGCTCGTCACTAGGGCCACCCCTGTCGTTTTTTTTCCACATTATATTTCGTCCATGAACGTCTCCATGATTTAAGACAGGTGGAACACCTGAGAGAAAGCTACGAATATGTGTCTCTATTATTTATCCACTAAACTGTCAAAGGGGTCAAATGCTAACCTAATTTTGTGTTTAGATCCTCTGCAATATATTCCATGAAACTTGGCATTGAGAAAAGATTTTTAGCAATTTCAGCTTCTTTAATAAAAACTTCTCCATAGTCTTCTTTAAGTTTTGTAATGCTTTTGTTAGCAAGAGAAGTGTAAAGACTGATTACATCATCTGTGTCTTGAAACTGCTTCAGCTCGCTACTGCACTGCAGTGATAAGGCTGTGATGGTTATCAATTGATTGACAAGACTCAATACCTGAAAGTCAGTGTTTAAGAGTGCGATAAATTTGAAGAAATAAAATACTAATTGTATTTTTTTTTATTTTAAAAAAAACTTGTCTTTTGAGCTTCATAAAACCGAATAAAAATTTTAGAAATTATACCTGCTTTTCTGAGAAAGGCTTTTCAAAATCCTGCACTACAGCTTTTTCGGATAGATCTTCCATGAGAATTGCACCACCACTTTTATGATCACTGCTTAGTGGTTTTACGCCGTAAATAGCTGGTATTTTAAGTCCTTCACGATTACCAAATGCCATAAAAAAATTAGTTTCTCGCTCAATTAAATTGTAGACCAGCGAAGAAAACTTATTCTAAAATTAATATCTTTTTACATTTGCATTAAAAAGCAGTCATTCTTGTAACAACGTAATAGTACTGATAATTTTTGAAATTGCTCTTCTAACTAAATTTAAAAAATTTTAGTTGGAAAAGACTATATTTGCATATTCGAGCACCTAACCTTTTCAGCTTCATCAGATTTTATAGTACTGTTAATCCGTTCAGAACCTTTGTGATCTGGAACTTTTAAAATAACTACTTCCGGCTTTTCATCGTTATCAAAATAAACAGTAATGCGTAGAATTTTTGATGTGTAACCGACTTCTTTAAAGATGTGTTCACAGGTGACCTAAATCACTTTTAGTTTATAAACGTTTTACATTCGTTAAAGACCACATTTACATTTACACATCTAATTCCAGCCATAATATCTATAAATTAATAAAAAAATATTTATTTTACATATTTAAGTTATACCTTAGACACTGCGGTAACTGCCAACCGTTGATCAAAGCCTTTTTTTGTTTTTCTCAAACTTTCAATAATCCATTTATAAGTAGGTCCACTTTTTTCGAGTACATTGCTGAAACCACCTTCATCCATGGTTGCCCAAATATTAGGTAACTACAGGCACTCGTTAAATTTTATTAAATTTAATGTAGCACAGTTATTTTTAGTTTTACAGCGGGAATAGTAGAATACCAAACTCAGAAAACCCTGTCATAGTTTCTTCTTTGCAATCGCAAATTTATATGGTCACAAAGTGAAAGATTTTTCGTTCCGTAAACAGTATGTGTTAAAATCTTTGGCGTGTTTCAGCTACAAACTGC